ACTGCTGCTCACTGGATGTTCTCTCTTTCAGAGTGTTCTCGACCAACCCTGAGGTGCCTGTCTGGGACAATTCCAGAGATCAGCAGTTTCTGAAATCCTCAGTCGAGCTCATCTATCATCAACAACGACCAGAGTCGCTGAAATCACTTTTCTTCTCTATTCTGATGCACCTCTGATGAGTTAATGAGCGGTTGAACAGGTGTGTTTAATAAAGTGGCCAATGAAAATAAATTTTATATAAAGTAAGTACAATTACATATTCTAATAAAAACTGTTATTCCTATTATGAGACACAATACTTAATAATTTAACTAAAAAAAATTAAATTCTAAAATAACTTTTAAAAGGGATTTTTTTAAATTCAGTGGCTGAAGATTTCATTATATCAGCAGTGATCAAAACACACTGCTGGCTGCAGGCTGATAGCTGAAACCTGTGAATGATCACAGCTCTGCACTGCAGCTCTGCAGTGTTAGCAACAGGTGAGTGGAAATGAGCTGCAGATTACACAAGCACTATTTGCATGTGGATGAATGGCAGATTACTGAAGTGTGAAGTAGCTGACGGCCTTCCAGCTGGATGCTGTCACATGTGAAAGGCTGCTAACACGGTGCAAATTCAAACACTAACAACTTGTAAATAAACAGGGTAACGCCAAGAAAGCATGTTTATCTGCAGAGCACATATAAATGATATGGTGATGCTAGCTACTACAATTCTTCTGTTGGTTTTTGTTAGCCTAATGCATGTTATTTATTATGTTATTTTTGTTATATGTTGCTGATATAAAAAACCTTTTCATTATTCTCAGCATCACAAACATAATCAAGTAATTATCAGAAAATGTTTGCAGAGTTTTATTATTAATCAAAAAAAAAAGCTCAAAAAGCTCAGAAGAACACAGACCTCACAGCCGCAGGCGAGACTGAGACGCAGCCTTAATCTCAAATACAGTAAACTAGTTAGCTAACGTTAATTAGTAACTCAACATTTACTGACATCAGCATGAGATGCATCATGTCAGTAGATTGAATTAGCATTCTAGCAGCATTAAGCTTCCTGCTAAGTATATTTCATATTGCAAGTTCTGTTTATATAGCTGTAAGTGTTGTAGTCCAACAGCATCAAGGTTCGGTATGTTTTGCATTCAGAGATGCTATTCTGCATATCTTGGCTATAATGAGTGGCTTTCGAATCACCGTCTCACCGTTCTGACTTCTAGCATCAACAAAGCACGTTCACCCAGAGACGTGCTGCTCGCTGGGTGTTCTCTCTTTGCCAGACTGCTCACTGCAAATTCATGCTTGTTTGGGAAAATTCCAACAGGTCGGGAATTTTTGAAATACTCAGACCATCCCGCCAACAACCACGCCGTGTTTAAAGTCATGTAAATCACCTTTATCCTCTTTCTGATGCTCAGTTTGAATTACTGCCTCGGCGTGGCTGGCATGTCTATAAGTGATGGAGTTACTGTGATTGCCTGAGTGGATATTTGTGTTAATGAGCAGTTGAGCAGAACTGAAACAGTAAATCTTTATTGATACAAACTTTACTGAGTGTCTGAGGGCTGCACTGAAAATCACACCAAAAATCAGTAAGTTCAACACATGACACAAATGTGGAAATGATGCCATAAATCTTCTCTGCCCTCCAATTAAAATCCTTTAAAGTATTAAATACATAAAGAGTCTGGACAAACATGGACGCCACATCAATGTTGGTAACTGTGCTTCCTCCTGAGACTAGTTAACTCTTTGTAACCTTGTATGAATCCTTTGCAGAGCCAAAATAAATCCTGATGATCGTAACGACAGCTTAATGCAAAAGGTTTAAAAAAAGAACATTTTTTCACCTCCCATAGTATCCATCACCCCACTGAAGCTGCTGATTTTACTTTTCAAGCTTCAACATTCAAAGAAAAGTTGAAATATTTTTGCTTAACAATGAATATAAAACATATGAAAGTGTTTTTCTTTTTGGTTTTCTTTTTCATTCATTTTAAACTTTAAATTTAAAGAATAAATTCATGTCTATGATGGCTCTCACGAAAGTTTTACACTTTTAAGCATTCAGTGAGAAACAAAACCATCTCTGCCGAGTCTGCCGGTTACAACTCAAAGCTGTGAAGTACAACGCAGTAATTACACTCAATAATATTCTGTAATTAAGCATTTATTAACTACTTACAGCTTTAAGGCCCCACACTGAAACAACTGCAGCAGGAATATACAAATACGACTTTTGTGAAAGCCTGCTGCAGACACTCTGTTCACAATGACAAATGCTTTCAGTTATTGTATATGTATAATTACACATGCACAGGAATTTCAACTAATTTAGTTTAATATCTATCTCTGCCACATTAGATTAGATTCGTATGACTTGCTGTCTTCAGCCTCAGCGTCCCACAATCCCCTCTGTTTCACTTCCAGGTGACTAATCCTAAATGACCCAAACACCTCCAAACTTTTATTGTAATAATTAAATTCCTTAAATTAATTAATTCAACCATTGCCATTTTTTACTTATAATTAATAAATCAGTGGATCAAGTTTCTCACAGATCATCAACTTTAAAAAGCACAGTTTGACCCAGTTTGAAAAAAACAAACAAACATGGTCCTTTTATTGGGTTCCTCCCACCAAACCCAGCATGTGTCAAAAATGTGCCAGAATACCATAAATCCCATCAACACTGCTCCTTGGTATTTCTGTTTGTGAGACACTATGTGTAATGTGAAAGTATCTCATTGACTTATATGGATAATTATGGATAATTACAAGTGCAAAGACATTTTCAGGTGCTGAGCAGTGATGATAGAGGAGAAATACCAAAATAAAATGATTCAAACTACAGTGGAAAAATCATTTTATATGACACAGAAGTTAAAGTACATAATATATGTTTTACCTGGTTGAGTTATTCACTCAGACGACTGATTGAGATCTTTCAGGATCATAGTGAGCTGATGTCTCAGTGCTGCTGATGTCACTGTCTAATTCACACTGTGCTGCATAATGAGGCCGAGGACTGGCTCTGTAAAGGTGCACATGCTAAGGCTACGTCCACACTAGCCCGGATAGATTTGAAAACGGCGTTCTCGTCTGAAAGCGCTCCGCGTCCACATTATACGGCAGAGGATTAGGGACACTGGGGGGGGAAGAATTCTGACTTTAATCTCAGAATTCTGACTTT